ATGCTGGTGGCCCAAGCGGCTTCTTAACCACCGCACCAAATGCCCGTCTCCCCGGCCTAACTTCTGACACCTACACCTTGCAGATGGTACACCCACCCGTGTGTTGTTTTAAGCCACTAACATTGGTGAGACTGACTGTCACAGCAGCAGTGAGGAACAGGCACACACGTGGCTCTGAATTCTAATGACCCGAGTGTCATTAGAAGAAATGTTCCCAGGTGCATTTCTTCTCAATGCGACAGAGGCCAAGGCACCACTCGGCGCTCGACAAAGGCCGGCAGGACTGGGGATCGTGTCTGGAGCACCTCGCACCACGCCCACAGCAGGAGAAAGGTAAGCAGTGGTCCAGGCCAGGCCCGGAGCCAGTTCCTCCTCCTTAATCAGTTTCCACATGAGTCACTGCCAGCAAGTTTCCAATGAGCCAGGAAACGGGGGGATGGGTGACTGCTCATCCACCCCATCAGCCTGTGCCACCTGGCCCCAGATGAGGGCCAGAGCAGGGGCTCAGCCGCCCTGCCACGCCACAGGGAGGAAGCGGGGAGGGACCAATCTGAGAAAACGGACTGCAGTGGAGCCTCCCCCACCCCATCTCCCAGGAAAAGCAGTCCACCAGGAAGCTTCATGGAAACACGAAGGAGCCGGCGCTGTGGTCTAGTAGGTAAAGCCGCCGCCTGCAGTGCTGGCATCCCATGTGGGTGCTGGTTTGAGTCCCAGCTAGCTGCTCCACTTCTGATCCAGCTCTCTGCTATGGCCTGGGAAAGCAGAAGATGGCCCAAGTCCTTGGGCCCCTGCACCCACTGTGGGAGACCTGGAAGAAGCTCCTGGCTTCAGATTGGTGCAGCTCTGGCCATTGTGGCCATTTAGGGAGTGAACCAGCGGATGGAAGAACTTTCTCTCTGTCTCTCCTCTCTCTGTGTAACGCTTTCAAATAAGTAAATCTTAAAAAAGAAAGAAAGAAAAAAGAAAAAGAAAGAAAGAAACATACACAAAGGTACTTCCAAAAGCTTGCAGAAAAGTGGAATTAAAAGGTAAAGTTTACTTTGGTGCAAAGAAATTTTGAAACCCGTGAATAGTTTTTTCTTAACACACATTTTTCATGAACTCTTTGCACCAAAAAAGTCCTGTTTCTATAGCCCCTGGACTAAAGCCAGCTGGGGACAATTACCAATGATCCTAAATTGCTGTTGCTCACAGCCAAGTGGCTTCCAGAACAACTTGTCACCAAGTTGGTGCCGTGTCCCCGGAAGACGGTACAGCCAAGGAAACCACTAACAGAGGTGCTGGAAATGATCCCTGCTCATCACAGACAGAACCCAAGTTCCCAGAGGCCCTCTCTCTTTCAGCTCTGGTCCAAAAGGTTCACAGGACCACTGCTAAGTCGCAAATTCGGGGACCCAGCCTTTCAAATGAGCCCCACCAGCTGCCCTGCAGGGCTGCTTGCTTTGAGGCGTCTAGGCTGCCGGGAAAAGGGAGCCACACTCCAAACCATCAGCACTTATCCTGCCTCTGGCTCCCAGGCACTGGAGCAGCTCAGCAAGAATGGCCAGGCATGGGGGACCCCATGGGACCCGCTGAGTTCCCCACAGAGAAGAGAAAACCCCAAGGGTGTGCAGGATCCCACAGAGGCCACCCGCCTTGCAGCCCAGTCAGGCAGGCTGGCTTCCGCTCCTGCTCCTCCAACTTTCCTGGCTCTCTGTGGCCTTGGGCAAGTCCCTGGACCTCACCGAAGTTCAAGGTCTTCATCAGCAAAACGGGCATAGTAGGTGGTGCCTACCTCAACAGGTGTCTCCAGTACTAAGACGAAACAAGGAAGGAACCTGTACATGTAGCACCCAGCGCGCCCACCGAGAACGGGGTGGGGGTGGGGGTGATGACGCATCAATCCTACTTGTCCCACGAGCACCAAGGCAAGAGATTGTTCAGACTTGCACCTGAAAATTTTGATCCACATCTCAAACTAACAAGGAAAGTACGGGGCCAGCAGGTGGTGCAGCAGGTAGAACTGCCACTCACAACTCCAGAATCCCGCATCAGAGTACCAGTTCAAGTCCACTTCCAACCCAGCTCCCTGCTAATGCACTTGGGAAGGCAGTGCATGAGGGCCCAAGTACCTAGGTCCTTGCTACCTATGCAGGAGACCAGGATGAAGTGCCAGGCTCCTAGCTTTGGCCTGCCCCAGCCCTGGCTGTTGAGGGCATTTGGGGAATGAATCAACAGCTGGAAGATCTCTCTCTCTCTCTCTCTCTCTGCTTTTCAAATAAATAAAATCTTAAATAATAATATAGGCACAAGTTAAACTTGGTGAACCAGCATGACTCAACCCTCCCCCACCAGCCTGGTGTTTACCCATCCCCTATGATGCCAGCACCAATCTGGACCATGACCTTATAAGGGAAAATAGAGCGACTCAGGTGGACAGGAAAAGCATCTGACAGGCCAGCCCGACAGAAGGTCGACCAGATGATGAAGGGTGAGTGAGTCAGAGCTGGAGAGGAGTAGAGCCAAGGCAGACTGTGGGCCTGCACAGGCCCAGGAGGAGAGGCAAGCGGAGAGAGCCACAGCACAAGGAAGGGACCAGCAAGTACCATGGAGACACGGGCCTGGGGCTTCCCACCCAGCTCTAGGAGGCATGCCAGGGAGAGAGGTGCTGGCAAGGGCCCCGGCGCCCACAGGGACTATCACACGGGGGAAGCTGCAGGACAGGGCTCAGGACTACAGTCAGCACTCGCCAAAGCAGACCAGCTCTGGGCGGGATGATCCCACGGGAGCAAGTGGGCAGGCCCCACTGCCTTGGCTGCAGTTAAAACACACCAGTGCCCTTCATCCCGGAGCCGTGAGCTTCAGGCTTCATTCATTGACAAGTATCTCTCTAGCACCTCCTTGGCCCAGAAACATCACAGCGGCCTTGTGGGAGGCACAACGGTGATTGACTCTCAGGCCCCGCTCCCAAGAGCTTATACTGCCGTGAGAGAAACAGGTGCATCGGCAACAGCAGCCAGCTAGAGAGTGGTGTCGCGAGTGGCACGGGAGTTCGAGATGGCCTTGCCTCTATGTGCTCAACACTTCTGAGCACGATGCTAAGCCCTGGGGACAAAGAAATGAGTAAGCTGTCCTGTCTTTTGAGGAACTTGAACTCTACAAGGAAAAGCAGCTACAGAAACATTATTCACAAAACAATGCCGCCAGTGCTGGTGCAGGAGCAAGAATAAACAAACTGTGCTGAGACAGGGAGTAGCCAGAGAAACTGGGAGGCCAGGGAGCTTGTGCAGGTGGAGGTGACATTCTAGCTGAGTCATGAATGGTGAGTAAGCTTTCACTGTGGAGGGCAGTAGCAGATGCCACGGAGGGAGAGTTCAGGCCCAAGCACCTGGGCATCTGGCAGCAAGAGGCCAGGCCGGAAGGCAGGTCAGGACAGACAGAAGGAATGTGTGCGGCCTTGTGAGAAGGGACACACCCAAACCAGGTCAGGCAGAGCAATTACCAAGACAGGCAGGAGCGGAGCGGGAGAGTATGCCCTAAAAAGGCACTAACTGCAGTGACGTGGGACCATAGCGGGCGGCGTGCACAGGGCTGAGGACTGTTCCAGAAGAATGCAGGGTTCCCCGAGAAGGTGCTGACTGTTCAGAGAGAGCTCCCAGGAGGAGAGCGAGCCGGGGATGGGGCTGCAAAGAGGAATGAGACCCACTCCAAGGTGTGTGCCGGGGAAGAAATGAGGCCCAAGATAAATGTGTGGCCGTGAACACTACCTGTTCTAGAAAAAGAAGCAAGGCTGGAGGTCTCCAACACCGGGCGGGGGTGGGGGTGGGGATCCCCATCGGGATTCCGGGTGGGGAAGGGGCTGCTGTGCCTCCCACCACTAGAGTGAGGACTGTCAATTTCCCCAGATTCCCAACTTTCCCTTTCCAAAGCATGACAGAGTTGGGGGAGGGGGCAGGGCGGAAGGCAGCTCCCCAAACACAACCCTCCCTCAGTCCGAAGCCTCCAGATCCAGAACCTCTGGCAGCTGGGAACCCCACCCCAGCCCTCCCATGCCTCCGGCAGGCTCCAAGGAGCCCCCACGCCCCTCTCCGCCCAGGGCGGCCCTAAGTCAGGAAAGAGGATTCTCCAGGGCTCCTGCACAGGTTAGGGACTCTCCGAGGCAGCCGGCCTCAAGGGGGCAGGGGTCACACACGTCCCCTGGAGGATCTGAGTCCTGCAGGGCCCGTTAGGCCCCTCCCACCCCACAGTGCCTGCCCATCCCCCACGTCCCCGCCTCCCAGGCCAAGAGGCCTCCAGCAGAGTGGCCTGGGAAACTCATCCAACCAGTTCCTGGGTGGAGGAGAGGAGCTTTCTCCCTGGCCCAAAGCATACTCAGACCAGGATTCGGGCTGGCCCACGGGGCAGCGGCAGTCACTTAAAGCCCAGATTCTGGACACAGGCCGTAGGGCCACAGAGGTCACTCCAGGAAAAGGGAGAATTTGAATCAGGGTGTGAGAGACAAGGCCAGGGCAGACACGAGCTGCCCCAGCCCTCTAGCTCCTGCTGCCCACAGCTGCAGAAATGGGGGGCACAGGGCCCCGCCTGACCCGGCGTCCATCTGGCATGGGAGAGAACCCCTTTCACCTGCCCCACCAGCCACCACTTGTTTGATCCAAAACAACCACCCCCTGTGGATTCTGGGAAAAGGAAATTTCAGGAAGAAGTGGGATTAACTCTGCTTTCCCCGGTGCCTGCTGCCAGGGCCTCCTACAACCACCCCAACTCTAAAGGTTCAGGCCGAGAAGACCCTCGGAAGAAGACCCTCCTCAACGCCACTTGCTGTCACCTCCCAAGGGATCATGGGAATCGTCTCGCCCAGGAACGCGGACAGGTCTACCCCAAGCAGCCAGGGCACCTGTCCCCAGTTCCTGAGCTCCCAAGGGAGGAAGCTGCCCTCTGGCCCCCACGCCTGCGGCTGGCCAGGCTCCCTGGCAGGTGGCTGCCAAGGCTCACCCTCCCCTAGCGGCCCAGCCGGTACCTACCGCCTTCCTCAACAGGGCTCCCATGGGCACACGCAGAGGGCGGCATCCTCCCGAGCCGGCAGCCCAGCAGTTAACACGCTCGAGGCCAGCAGCAGTGAGCTGCCACCACCAGCCCCGGGAATTAAAGCGCCCGCACGCCTCCTGCCCTCAATAAACGTCCTATTCAGACGCGTTCTGCGTGTGGGTCACACTTTCTGCATTTCTCTCATTCCTCGCTGCCGTGATGGGGGTGGGGGCAGCTTCCCGCGGGGTGCACAGGCCCAGGGCTGCCGATCTCTCCAGCAATGAAGCACACGGGACACGAAGTGCAGGAAGTCAGACTGAGGGCTCATTCACTGCACAACAACGCTCTGTTCTCGTCGCGCCTCCCCCCACCATCACGGGCCCTCCAAGCTGGAGGACGTTAACCCTTGCACTCTCCACAGAAGCAGGGGCGGAGCAGGGATGGGGGACATCTGGCTTTATTAGCCCAGTGTGACAGATCAGGAGGGCGGAGCTGAATTGACCAGAGGTCCCCTTAACACCTGCTTCCATGCAACTCCTGACCCACACTCACCCAGGGCCGGGCAAGCCAGAGAGTCAGGGCTTCTTCACCACCCACACCGCCTCCCAAGGGGCCAGAGGCACGGTACAGGAAAGCACAGTCCCTGGGCCCCCATCACCGGCATGCCCCTGCCGCCGCCTGCCCTTCGACAAGCCACTCAGACCCAGCTCCTACACCAAGGGGCACGCTCAGAATGAAGCCATAAGGAGGTTCAGAACCTCCAGAGGCCATTTATGGACCAGCAGAATACAGCTGGGCAGAGCACCCAGCCTGGTCCTCCACGCCCTCACCTGCCCGGCCCCTAACTCCATGGCAACCTCCTAAGGAAAGGACCACAGCGGCTGTGCCCTCTGCCCCAGACGTCGGAGCACTCACATCCCCACGACGGATTTCAGCAGCTGCGTGGACACGGGCAGGGGTGGCAGGCAGTGTGTGGGCACAGGTGGAGGAGAGGCGTGGAGGGCCACACTGCTCACCCCCTGCTCCAGGTGTGATCCCAGCGCGGGCGAAAGCTGCAGAACAGGCTGAGAGGATTCCGTGAAAAGAGGACGCCTCGGGCTCACTCACGGGCAAACCACCCGCCAGGTGCTGGGGCCGGAGCAGGGACGAAGACTCATTCTCACAGAGCCCACGTCCCAGCGGGGGGAGAGGGCCGCCAAGATGAGTGCTGGTGGGAGAAGTGCTCCGGAGCAGGTGCAGCAGGGAGAAGGGCGTGTGACGGGGGTCAGAGGGATTTCGATAGGCAGGCCTGGGGGAAGGCGGTGAGGGGGTGACAGCTATCGGGCGAGCCGCAGCTGGACAAGCCAAGCTCCAGGGACAAGGGCCTCTCGATAGCTTTGCTCTGCAGCCCACCTGGACAGGCTCATGACGAGCGGGCACTTCATCATCAGACTTCCAGAATGTCTTGTTGGTAAGCAGCCCACCCTCTGCAACTCAAGATGAAATGGACAAACCAAGGGGCGGGCATTGTCAGCACAGAGGGTTAGGCCACCAGCTGGGACACACACACACCCCCTGGCTGAGCAGTTGCTGGTCCAGTCTCCTGATGATGCATCCTGAAGGTAGACAATGATGGCCTAGTAGTCGGGTTCCTGCCACGCATGCAGGATGCCCAGAAGGAATTCTGGGCTCCTGGTTTCAGCGGTGCCCAGCCTTGGCTGTTTGCAGTATAGGCATGTAGGAAGTTGACCAACGTACGAAGATGTGTGTGTGTGTGTGTGTGTGTGTGCAGGCACGCATGCATGTGTGAAAGAGAGAGAGACAGAGACACTCTGCCTTTGAAGTAGGTGAAAATAAACATTTTTACAAACTACGAACCCCATGAGGAAGCAAACCCTCAGGAACACTAAGAAGTAACTAGGAAAACATAAAACATCTGACAGACTCGAAAACAAATGCCTGTATAAAGTGACTGAACAGACAAAAACCGTAATGGGAGGTCAGACAGCGCGGGGGGACCAGGCAGCTAGGAAAGGTGCCAAATGGGCACCCGGCCTGGCGGTTCAGATGCTGCTCCGGAAGCCCACACCTGGGACTGCAGGCCAGGGTTCGAGTCCCAGCTCCGCTCCCACCCCAGGCTCCTGGCAGGCAGCAGGTGATGGATCAGGTAGTTTGGGCACCTGCCACCCACGTGGGAGACATGGATTCAGTTTCAGGCTCTCAGCTTCAGACATTCGGGGGCTGCACCAGCAGATGGGAGAGCTCCGTCTGTCTGTCTCTCTCTCAGTAAACATTTTTTAAGAAAAACTACTAAGCAGGAATAGAAGACAATGATGTTGAAGTTAAGAACCCAACAGGTTCCATAAAAAATGAAATGCAACTACAGAGAGAATTGGTAAAATAAAAAGTAAACTGAGGCGGCCAGCGCTGTGGCACACAGGGTTAAAGCCCCAGCCTGCATCGCCGGAATCCCACATGGATGCCGGTTCAAGTCCCCGCTGCTCCACTTCTGATCCAGCTCTTTGCTGTGGCCTGGGAAAGCAAAGGAAGATGGCCCAAGTCCTTGGGCCCCTGCACCCACGTGGAAGACCCAGAAAGAGCTCCTGACTCCTGACTTCAGATCAGCTCAGCTCCAGCTGTTGCGGCCATTTGAGGAATGAACCAGCGAGCAGATAGAAGACTCTCTTTCTGGCTCTACCTCTCTCTGTAACTCATTCAAATAAATAAAATAAATCCTTAAAAAAAAAAAAAAGTAAACTGAGGAAATGATCCTAAATTCAATTCTAAGAGATGAGATGGAAAATATGAACATAAACAGACTTAGAGACCCATGAAGTTCCGTAAAAACAAAAAGGAAAAAATGGGGGAGGGGAGCAAATTCCAAAGAAATCATGTCTGAATTTTCCAGATAAGTGGACAGGCAGAAGTCTTCAGATTAGGCCGGCGCCGCGGCTCACTAGGCTAATCCTCCGCCTTGCGGCGCCGGCACACCAGGTTCTAGTCCCGGTGGGGGTGCCGGATTCTGTCCCGGTTGCCCCTCTTCCAGGCCAGCCCTCTGCTGTGGCCTGGGAGTGCAGTGGAGGATGGCCCAAGTGCTTGGGCCCTGCACCCCATGGGAAACCAGGAGAAGCACCTGGCTCCTGCCATCAGATCAGCGCAGTATGCCGGCCGCAGCGCGCCGGCCATGCTGGCCATTGGAGGGTGAACCAACGGCAAAAGGAAGACCTTTCTCTCTGTCTCTCTCTCTCACTGTCCACTCTGCCTGTCAAAAAATAAATGAATAAATAAAAAATGATAAAAATAAAAAAACAAGTCTTCAGATTAAAGGTACACAACAAGTTAAATGTAAAAGAAATTCACATTTGCACACAAGGTAGTATAAGTGCATAACACTAAAGATAAGGAAAGACCATAAACAACGAATAAACCAATGAATTCAATAACTTCGATGACACACACAGATTCCTAGAATGACACAAACCACTGCCCGGCTCATGAGAAAACAGGAAATCTGAGGCAAGTAAAGAGACTGAGTTAGTCATTTGAAAATTGCAAATAAAGGGGCTGGCACCATGGCGCAGTAGGTTAATCCTCCGCCTATGGTAGAGAGAGGAGAGAGGGGAAAGGTGAGAGGGCAGAGGGCAGAGGGTGCCGGTCCTAGTCCTGGCTGCTCTACTCTAATCCAGATCTCTACTGTGGCCTGGGAAAGCAGCGGAAGATGGCCCAAGTGCTTGGGCCCCTGCACCCACGTGGGAGACCTGGAAGAAGCTCCCGGTTCAGATCATTGCAGCTCCAGCCGTTGTGGCTATTTGGGGGGAATGAACCAACAGAAAGAAGACCTCTCTCTCTGTCTCTCTCTCTCTCTGTCTGTAACTCTACCTCTCAAATAAATAAATAAAATCTTTAAAAAAAATTGCCAATAAAGAAAAACCCAGAACTACATGGCTTTACTAGAAAATTCTATGAAACCTTTAAAGAATTAGTTTGAAAAGACAGAAGAGGAAAGAACACTTTCCAACTCAACCTAAGGTGAGAATCAACCTGATGTTAAGACATCTCAAAGGGGCCAGTGCTGTGGCACACTGGATGAAGCCACATCCCACATAGGTACCGGTTCAAGTCCTGGCTGCTCCACTTCTGATACAGCTCCCTGCTCATGTGCCTGGGAAAGCAGCAGAAGATGGCCCAAGTGTTTGAACCCCTGCACCCTCGTGAGAGACCTGGAGGAAGCTCCTGGCTCCTGGCTTCTGGCTCCTCGCCCAGCTGTAGCCACTGAGGCCATTTGAGGAGTGAGCCAGCAGATGGAAGATATTTCTCTCTGTATCTCTGCCTTTCAAATAAATTAATAAATCTTTTTAAAAAAATTGATCTATGGGGCCAGCGCTGTGGTGCAGTGGGTCAAAACACCGGTCTGTAGCACGGGCATCCCATATGGGCACCAGTTTAAGTCCCGGCTGCTCTACTTCCGATTCAGCTCTCTGCTGTGGCCTGGGATATATCAGTAGAAGATGGCCCACATCCTTCGGCCCCTGCACCCAGCTGGGACACCTGGAAGAAGCTCCTGGCTCCTGGCTTCAGATTGCAACCCATCTGGGGAGTGAACCAGTGGATAGAACACCTCTCTCTCTCCTTCTCTCGCTATATAACTCTGACTTTCAAGTAAATAAATAAATCTTAAAAAAAAATTGATCTGTGTATTCAACACAATCAATATCAAAATCTCGGCTGACTTTTCACAGAAATTTACAAGCTGACTTAAATTCATGTGAAAAGCAAAGGACATCGAATATCCATAACATAAAAAAACAAGGTGAGAGAATTCATTTTCAATTTCAAAACTTACTACAAACTACAGATAAACACTGTGCTACACTGGCCTCAGGCAGACACAGGGACTAATAGAAAAGATTAAAGGCACAAGAAAAACCTCACAGATACACTCAACAGCTTTTCAGCAAGGGTCCTTTCAACAACTAGGACAACTGGGTATTCAAATGCAAAAGAATGACTCCACTTTGCACAAACCCCAAAACCACAGACCTAAATACAAGAACTAAAATTATCTCACAAGAAAAGAGAAATCTTGGGGCTGACACTGTGGGGCTGTGGGGCACAGTGGGTTAACACCCTGGCCTGAAGCGCTGGCCTCCCATATGGGTGCCAGTTCGAGACCCAGCTGCTCCACTTCCGATCCAGCTCTCTGCTATGGCCTGGGAAAGCAGTAGAAGATGGTCCAAGTCCTTGGGTTCCTGCACCCACGTGGGAGACCCCAAGGAAGCTCCTGACTCCTGGCTTTGGATCAGTGCAGCTTCAGCCATTGCAGCCAACTAGGGAGTGACCAGCGGATGGAAGACCTCTCTCACTCTCTCCCTGCCTCTCCTCTCTCTGTGTAACTCTGACTTTCAAATAAATAAATAAATCTTTTAAAAAAAAGGAGAGAGAAATCTTTGTGAGCTTGGATGAGCAATGTTCCTTCAATACAACATAGAACCATAAGGGGAAAAAATACAATCAAAACAACAACAACAAAAACCCAGGTAAACTGGACATCATCAAAATTAAAAACTTTCGTGTTTCAAAGAGCACTGTCAAGAAAGTTAATGATAAACCACAGAACGAGAGTTCTAGAACAAGAACTGTAAATCATGCAACAGGACTCAAAAAGGCATGGAAAATGAAATTAAGTTTATTTTGGTGCAAAAATTTTGAAAACCAAGCAACTTTTTGCATAATATGCATTTTCCAAAGCATTTTTGAAGGCCCCATGTATGTGTGGATTTCAAAAATTTTTTGGGTCACACAGCAAGTTATCTTTTTTTTTTTTTTTTTGAAAGTCAAAGTTACACAGAGAGAAGGATATAGAGAGAGAGAAAGAGGTCTTCCATCCGCTGGTTCACTCCCCAACTGGCCACAATGGCCAGAGCTGTGCTGATCCAAAGCCAGGAGCCAGGAGCGTCTTCTGGGTCTCCAACCCGGGTGCAGGGGCCCAAGGATTTGGGCCACCGCCCCCCACCCCCGCAAGATAAATAGCCCAATTTTACAACTGAAAAAGCATTTAAATAGATATTCCTCCAACAGCCAATAAGCACATGAAAAGATAGCATCATTAGAAAATGCAGATCAAAGCCACAGTTAATACTACTCCATACTCACTAGTATGGCTAAAATCAGAATGATGGAGATTAACAAAAAGAGTTGGTGAACATCTGGCAAAATCGGAACCTTGCACTTGTCTGGCAGGAGTGCAAAACAGGGCAGTTTTTACTGGAACAACCTAGTCGCTTCTCAAAAACTTACATGTAGGGTTACTACAGGGCCCTGCAATTCTGATCCCCAGATAACTGAAACCTAAAGTCCACACAAAAACCTGTGCCAGAAG